GCCATCAATGTGTTTACAGGGTTCAGAATTCTATGTATACCATGAAAACACCAAAACATCTTGCATAAATCTGAACATATACACTGTAACATTTACAAAAAAGAGTTTCTGTTTCTGAAAGAGGGCAACTCAAAAAAAAAAAAGGGGGGGGGGAGGAAAAAAAAACAGAAAAACCAAACAAACCCACCACCACCAATCTAACATTCAATTAGATCAGTACTGAAACAGACAACAGAAGTTTAACTCTTCACTATGAAGAAACTTTCTTTTTGTCCAATAACATAGAGTTCGAGGCCAGTACAAGACAAAATTCTGAACACATTAAAAATACATTTCCAAATATCTTTTGATATACAGTCTAAAGTGTCCAACTTCTGAAGGCAAAATGGTAATATGAAAAAAAAACCAAAAAAAACCAACACTATCTTGCCCATAAATGACAGTTGCAGAAATTAATGTTTTAATTTAACTAAAACTTATTTTCTTCATTTCAATATAATCAGTTTTTATTTCACATAACTGGTGAATAATTATTACCCTTCATGTTTCAACTGACAAGTGTTATTCCTCTCAGAGTAGATGATATACATACATGTGTATATATAAGCAGATTGTTTAAACCATAGATTTCTCTGGTCCCTGCATTTTCATTTTGTCTTGCTAAACAACTCCACATTGCACGTAAAATTCTTGCTGGAACTATATGTCATAAAATATTTCATTGTAATTTAGAAAAAGAATATAAAAGTAGAAATTTATGAATAAAAGTATAACATCCATTTAAATAACAAAACATTTACTCACCTCAGGCATGTAGCCGAGGAGAATGTACTTCCAGCCAGATTTGAAAGTCATAGCAGAAGTGCTGTACATTGACCGGCAGTTCTGGCTTTTCTCATTGCAGGAGACTTCACTACAAGTCAGGTGAAACTAATACTGCTAAATCCTTTGATTTATCTAAATATTTACAGGTAGCTAAGGTTTTAAGGCCTCTTCTTCTCTTAAAAAATAAGCGACTGACGAAAAGGAGGTAACTGTAAAAGAACTGCAGTAGCACTAAGGCATCCTGGCATTGTAGTAGCCGCCTAAAGGCAGAAAGGACAGCAGGATGTGCTCAATAGATTTTGTTTAGCTGTATTAGAAATGAACTTCCAAAAGTGTTTACTACATACCTTTCTTACTGGTCTTCAGCTGTCTGTATTGTTAATGTTCTGGTTCTGCTTCTTTTTCATATAAATCAGAGCTTTCAATCAATGAATTGAAGATGTGAGAGGACTTGCTTATATTGAATATTGAAGTCATGTTGGCAGGGGTGGTACTTTTAAAGTGTTATAATTTTTTTTCCCTCCCTCTCCAACGCAAATGTCAAATAGGACTAATGCTGTCAATTCATGTGGTCCTTTGTATGTACACAATAAAAGTTTGTACATCAGGTATGCAAGATGTAAAAGACCCGGTATACAGTTCTAGAGGAGCAAGCAGCCAATACTGTCAAAGTGTAACGTGTTTTTTGCTCTGACCTGTTGGTTACTTGTCTTGTGTCTTTGGTATTGGCACCTATTAAAAGTTGAAAGCAAAGACCTGAAGGCTTTATTTGGTGTCCTTTTCATAGCAGGTTCTAATCACAGAAGGAGGTCTGTGGGTTTAGTACCTTTCTTTTTGAAGAGGCAGGGCATTTGAGTGTCCTGACACTAAAATCAAGCCACTGAACACTTGGTTTCTGTCCTGTGTGTGGTGGAGGAGAAAGGCTGATGAACTCTTGGGAAGTGCAGAGAGGGCAAACACGTCTTGCTGGTTCCTTTGAGTTCCGTGCTGGGACGTCCTGGTTTAGCTCCAGGGCTCTTCTGCCGAGGATTTTGGTAACTTATAGACCTATGTGCAGCTGTGGGCCTGGGGCTGCTTTTCCTCTGCCCCCTTCAGCAGCTTGGAAACCTCTTCCTTACCCAACAGAAGAGCATTTTTCCTCCCCCTGCCTCCACTCTGCCCAGCCCAGGACCCTCACTGATCCCAGAAGTGCTGTAGCTCTGCTCCAGCAGTTTGCTCAGGAATCACAGGACTGCCAACAGCTAGCAGCAGAGGAGGGGGAGTGCAGCCTGGCTCTAGCGCCTCTTCTTTCCCCACTCCTATCACACTGGTAGCACTGCCACAGCCTGGAGACAGAGAAGAGATGGGACAGGGATGCTGCAGGGTTAAGCATAAAAAAAAAAAAAAAAAAAAAAAGGAAAAAAAGGCGCTGACAGCGCTGTGTGCTGTGCAGGGCCTGTCCTGAGCCACGGCCCTGTCTGGCACCTGCTGGCCATGGGTGAGCCCAGAGCATTTTGTACAGTCTGATTCACAAGGTGTTCACCTTGTCCAAGCCACGCTCATAGAAAAAGTAGGTATGGATAATGCTATAAGAATCATACCTCTTTCTCCTTCCTCCTTCTCACCCTATGTCGTGTGAGGGCTGGGAGGGAAGGCTGTTCTTTACAGCTACCAAATGGATGTGGTACTGATGAGGAACAAGGGGGTGATACCAGGACAAGGTATGGATGAGGTTTGGAGCTGTAGCATCCAAACCAATTCCCTCTTCCCTACTGGCTAGGGATATGATATTTTGGTGAGGTGAGTCCTGTTCTGCAAGACCTGCTTGGTTGTTATTCCTTCTGCCTCTGCTAACTGGGGCCTGGTGTAGGTTGCCTTCTGATTCCCTTTCTGCAGCTCTGCCTCTCTGATGTGTGGGGTATTTATTTGAGTGGAAATTTTTATTAAGCAATTACTAAACATGAATAAACATCGTGCAGGCTTAAAAAAAAATCCTCTTTGGTTGCTTTTTATTTTTGCTAGAGGCATGGCAGTGGTGCTGGGCATTGCACATGGGAAGTTGTGCTTTTCCACAGTTCGGAATGTACCACACACAGGCTGTGGAAGCATGTCACTCATTGCTCCATACAGCGAATGAGCTATATAGGCAATCTCTTTCCTCAAGTTTTCACAAAGGGGAAATTAAAAAGCAGAACAACTTCTTGAAGTAGATAAATGCTTGAAGATTGGAACCTTAAAAGCTGTTGGTGAAGAGTGGTTGAAAAGAGTGATGTAAACCAAAACATGCGTTCCTGGATGTTCTTTCAGTGAGAAGAACTTTCTAGGATGCTTTAGTTGAGTTTTGGAGCTGTACAGACTCTTACACATGTAATCCTCAATAGCTGAAAGTGAGGCTTTCCATAGACACCAATATTCTCTAGTTATGTGAACATTTTGGGACAACCTTGGTTGTACGCAGTTGAGATAGAGAACTAAGAACAGTTAATACTGGATTTACACTTTTATTATTTTTTTTTTAAAGGGAAAACAGGCAATTTGCCTTTTTATTATTTTTATTTTATTTTATTTTATTTTTATTTTTTTTTTTTTGTATTTTCCTGACATTTTTGCCCTTGTTTTGGTTTATCTGGTTTGCATCAAGCTGAACCTGGCCTAACATATGCCTTGCATATAACTCTGCCAGAACCAGCTGGAGGCTGCTCACAGTTGCCTGAAACCTCTGATTATTTCAGCTGCCTCTGACAGTGATTACACAGGGAATATTCCCTAGGGAATTTGGTTGTATATTCACCCAACATGCCTCTTTGGTTGTATAATAAAGAAAATTAAACTGAGAAAAGCACAGACATGTTTTTTGTAACTGAAGCTTTTCAAGTAAAACCTCAATTTTACTTTTTCATTCTTAATGTGTAATATACAATCTCTCTTCTCTCCACAGGCTATATAGTTTCCTACTGCTCCTTTCTATAAAGCATAAAGATACTGTTTTCTTTTTCTAAAATAATAATAATAATAATTTATATTTAGGTCCAGATTTTTAGGTGATTGAAGTTCATAGGTCAAAATGGAGTTGTGCCATTTTGAACTAGCTGTAACTTTAGACCTGAAAGTACTTTCTAGCCCCTTCAAAATCTGGCTAGTGCATTTGTTCTTACTTAAGCTAAAAGGCAAAGTCTTTATGTATTAAATACCCTCTATTCAAATGAGCCTTCTGATAGTATTTGCCATCTTTGCAGCATTTTCTTTTTAATTTGAATAAGTTTAATTAAATAAAAAGCACATTCTAATAAAACATGTATCAAAAATCTTTCTAAGAATTACGCATTCTGTGAAAGCAAGATATTGCAAAGGAAATATCAGTATTATTAAACACACAACAATCCATTTCAGGACCCAGCATAGCTCCTGTTGGTGATTGTGTTTATATGTTTCTTCTCAAAGCTGTAGAAGAAAACTTTTTTTTCTTCCTTCTCCCCTGAATATCTTCTGCTTTCACAGACCTGTAAAAACAGGGTGTTCATATTGGCTCAGTTGCCTGTTTCTGGAACTGGATACTAGACATTCAAAGTGTGTTCTGCAAGGTGGAAGAACACTATCTGGTGAAGATAAAAATGCACTACTTAAAACCAGGATGTTTGATGGGTATTTGAGTGTTTGCCAAATACATATATATGCTCTAGTATTCTTACTCAGCATGTAATGCAGTGTGTTATCATGGTATTGTACATGAATTCAGACTGGAACTCTGTCCAGAGGGCCAGGTATCTTTTCTTGTTCTCCCTGCAGCTGCAGTGCCCCAGCACTGGACGGGGTTTCTTGCAGGTGTTTCCAAATGATTATTTGTCCAGATGAAACACTTCCCAGAAGTATACCTGTCCTTGGTGGAGTCTACGCTAAGAGGTCTTTGGGAGCCTTTCAATTTCTCTTATGAAGTCCTGGCACTCCACCATCAGGAGAGGTGACAAAGGTGTATTAAGCACAGACTGTGGTTTGGAGACATATGGCTGTTCAAGTCGTATATTTGAAAAAAACACCTGCAGTACCATAAGAACTTGAGAGTAAATTGAAAACTTTAAAAATAAAATCTGAGTTAAACACATGAATTCTCCTTGCCCTCAACAGCTTAAAGATGATGTAGTTAGAAGAGCAGATGGGCACAGAATTAAGTGACTTACAGATTTGAGTTTTTTCTGTAGGTAGATGACATCAAGAACTTGGCAGACACTGTTGATGTTCACTCAATCAGGCAATTCAGACTGCCAGGAGAACAAAATGATGGCATCCTGGAAAGGAGCAATGCATGGAACAGTGTAAAATGGTTGTGTAATTGTGTAAGTACTATGGGCAGAATGGGCTACACAGCCCAGGGACCTCTCCTACATCTTGTAGCACGCAATGCTTCAAGTGTGGCAAATAAGGTTCAGTGCCTACAGCTCCTCCTCTGTCTTGATTTACCATATTCCTCTTTATTTTATCCAGATGGTTAAGAGTTATTTTAACTTCTCAATCATGTAGTAATTCATATTACATCAATTTTTTTATGAACAGAATAGGAATTCCTCTAGTCTCTGAGCTTTCCCTCCCAGCTAAAAGATAACTGGATGCATTACTGTAAGACCTCTTTGAATGGGATGTGCTTCTCTGCTCTCCAGGCTGATTCTTAAGGTTGTAAGTCTTAGTTATAACTAGTGCCAGCTGTAAAATCAAATTTCATTTAATGAAAATACATATGAGAAATGTATGCTTGGTTTCTTTTGTGTGTACGGAAAAAATGTTAGCCACTGCCAAGCAATTAGGATGCTTGTGTGGCTGCTAACAGATCCTCCCTTGGTGCTTTGTTGGAAAAGGGGAAAAACAAAAGTCTCACTCGAGCTTTGTACTGGCAGCTTGAATGCTCAAGCCATTGAGCTGTGAAGTGCATTGTTTTCCTTTATGTAAATGAATAGAAACCATAAACTTTATATGATAGATTTCATTGAATGGAGCTTTCTCAGTTTTGCTGAATAGATAAAGATAATATTCTTTTCTTTCTGTTTAGGACAGGATGCCTGCATTCCAGTCCAGAAAGTCCTAGACAGAAATCTGGGAGTAATACACAAGGACACATGAACTTCAAATGAGAAGAGATGGGTTTTCATGGGCACAGCTGTCTCCCTGGTGTGGGGCAGTTCTGAGCAGTAAACAACATCTTGATTTCACTGTCCATGAATGTTACATGCATGGCCATTTGCCTGGACTGCAGGCAGGGCAATTAGAAACACTCCTACTGTGCTGAGTGGATTGCTGCGTCTAAGAAGTCTGTGGCAATGACCTAATTTCTCCAGTATCTCTTTCCTTCTTTTCACCCAAACTCAAATTGCAGTGTAAAAACAGGGCATGCAGCCCCACATATCTGAAGAAAAAAAAAAAGTTTTAGTGGAAATGTTGCTGGAAGTAGTATTTTCACAAAGAAGCTCTAATTTTATCTAGGTGGAGTTTAACAGTCAAAAATTTAGTCAAGTGTTCTCAGCTGAATCTCTTTGTAAATCTGATGCCTATTACATGCCTATAAAACTGCACACAGCATTTTGTACTACACCATGACTTATCCATGTAGGGTTTGATAGACTGAAGTAATTTTGATCAACTCTTTCCTCTCAAAGAATAGACATTTTCTGTGCTCGTTTAGTTAGGGCAATTATTTTTTGTTTAGCATCACACTATATTCAAACCGTTTACTTTCATTTTTAAATTAATATGAAATCCTTGATGGTAGTTTTATGCTAGAATGATTCTTATACTAGCTTCTGTCAAGGAAGAGATGAGTCTCAAGAACCATGTTTCTTTAATGTCTATCAGTTTGCATTGCTGGGAATTCTATTTCTTAAAATACCTATATTTATTGTATTATACGGTGACTAGGCTTGCTAGACTGATTAATACCAGGGAAAGAGATGAAAGGCTTCAAATCTCAGTTTCTGCAGGAGTTATTAAATCAGCATAATACTGATACTTTTGATATTCAATAATTTCTGCATCTGTTTATTAGTCAAAAAATATATAACTTCTTAAGAATATAATTTATATGACAGAGCTATTGTTCCTCCTTTTTAAGCTTCTGACAGATTTCCCATTTCTAGTGAAAGTTAGCAGTAATTGCAAAGGTACCTGATTAAAATGCTAAAAGATTTTTTTATTTTTTATTTTTTGGCCAAAACATGTTTCATCTTAGGGGTGCCAGTGTTTCTATGGGAGAATGAGGAAGTACAAAAAAACTTGAAGATACTGATTTCACTGATTAAGCAGTTATATACAATTTTATACAACCGAAACGTACTAAAAATAATATTCTTAAAATGGGAGAGTGTGTTGATAATTTCAGTCTATCTTCTCTCTGATTTTTCTTTTGGTTCACAAGTATGGGCTCTCATGGGACTTAATGCAGTTTTATTAATGGTTGGTTGAATAAGGAATCCATAAACATGGAAGACTGTGTCTAGGCCAGGTAATATTCCCCACAAATAAGAGACTTGTTGAATAGTTGAGTTCTTGTTCTCCTTTATTTACACATTCCACTTGGAGCTGATTCTTGAGTGTCTCTCAGAAGCCTGGTGAGAATAAAATGTGTTATTTTCTGCCTTAATAGCATGTCCTGATGCTCTGTGTTGTGCTTACCCTTGCTGAAGTTACCCTTTAAACTAATCAGTAAGAAGCTTATTGTTCTGGAGATGAGAAGTCAACTTCTGAATTTGAGTGAAGTTTCTTTGCTTTGAATATAGTGTCTACAAAGAGTTGCTGACCGTATGCTTTTTATCGGGGAGCTTTTAAGAGAATCGGTAAAAATACTTGCTGTTTAGAAGCTTCTGTTCTTATGGATCAGAAGATGTCAACATCTGAGCTGATCATACCACAATTTTTAACGGCCAAAAGATGGAAAATTGTGCCTTTAGAGCATGTCTTGCTAAAAGGAACATCTGACTCAGGTTGGGTGATTCTCACCCCAGAAATATCTGCTTTTCTCCAATGGATAAAAAGATTATGTTTGCAGATGTCTAGACTGATATGCAAATAAAAATAATATTGCAGAGTTTATTTGCTGCAATGAACATTTCAAGCACTTCAAATAATGCAAAAAGCTTTGGTTCAGTAGAAAAAAAAATCTGAAAACCAAAGTAATTGTATGTTGATTAAAGGAGCAGCAAAGAATAATACTAATGGGAACTTTGTTAAATGTTGAGTGGCAAGTACTAAAACATCTAGTTATTTAAGGTGAGATCTGGCACATGATTCTTGGTGTATGTGGGTATTGATGCTTATCATCTTTCAATGAAAATTGAGAATTATATAGACTGCAGAATTCAGCTGTCTGGTAACGTAGGTACTGGGTGAAGTGTAGAAAAATTTAGAAGACTGAGTCTTCAGATGTGGAAATAGGTTTGTTGGAGCACAGATAGTAAACACACAGAAAGAGAAAATACCATGTTAACTTATTGATTTTTTTATCATGGTCCTTAGCTATCTCTGTGTTCCTAAGATCCAGAACAGTGTTTGCCCCATTTTTTAATTTATTCTTAAAATAAAACAATAATCATGTCTTTGGACTGAATTTTATAGGGCTTAATTTATCAAGGTTTATTAGAGACCAGAAATGATTGAGGAGTGCTATGGAAGTAAAACTTTATTACCATTTTTGGTTAACTACCTATAACAGCATCTGGCCTTGATATCCTCTTGGATATAGGAAGAATAAATTCTGGTGTTTGAAGCCCTGCTGTGGGAAGGTCACACTCCCCTCCAGATGTTGCTTAAAGTTCCTCTTTCAGTTGACTTATAGAAGGGAAGTGGCATCTCCTTGTAACTCCTCAGTTTGAAATGGTACTCTGAGTCTGAGGGGAGGGTTTCATGGTAAAAGTCTGGTGAATCTCTGAGAAATAATTCTTAGACTAAGAATGCTCTTTGTTTCCCTATTTTGGTTCTTTGCAAAGTAGTCAATGCTTTATTGTTGCTCTCTTAATAAGGGACACATTTTTTTTTCTCATTTCTCCTTCCTTAAGGAGTTGATTTTGTTAAATGCTGCAGTGCTTTGTCTGAGTTGCCTCTCTATCTCCATAAGGGTGTAGGTTTCCATAAGAATAGGCAAATATTTGCTTACCATGAAAGGTCTGTAAAGCCCAGCACCATTTCCATGTTTTGAACAAAGGTTATTTAATTATTTATTAGGAGAAGGAGATAAGGGAAAACAAAAACAAACAAACAAACAAGAAACCAAATGAATAAAACAAAAACAAAAACAAAACTAACTTGAAGTGCACGGGAGGTTGCTTTCCTTGTTAGATCAATTCTCTTGGTTGCGCTGCAACTGTGAACTGCACATGGTTTGGCTAGGAATTATTTCTTGGTGTTTAAGGAATCCTTGGCTTTTGTGTAGGTGAATTCTTGCTTACTGGAAACTAAGGATAATCAGAAATGCAGTCTGAACAAGTAAACTATCATATTCCTCATCTGATGGATAGATATCTACGACCAGATTGTGTAACACTGGGTACAGAAGGCAAATCAGTCAGATTGGGTTCAGTAGATGTGGAGCAGAGAGAGAACCAAGATATCCAAAGAAACTCGTATATCCTAGAAAATTGAGATATGCAAAAAATACACTAATAAATATTTGCCCTAGCAGGGCAAAGAAGGTGATCTTTTCCTTCTACTCAGCACTGGAGAGGCAACAACTGGCTCATGGTGTCCAGTGCCAGGCTTACCAGTACAAGAGAGACATGGACATACTGGATAGAGCCAAATGAAGGACCACAAAGATGACAAAGGGACTGGAGCACATCTGCTATGAGAAGAGGCTGAGAGAGCTGGGACTGTTTGGCCAGGAGAAGAGGAGGCTCGGGAGGGATCTCATGATTGTCTATAAATACTTGCAGAGAGGATGGAGCCAGTCTATTTTCAGTGGTGCCCTGTGCCAAGACAAGAGGCACAAAATGAGAGGGTCCCTCTGAACATCAGGAACTACTTTTTCATTGCAAGGGTAAATATTCCCGAAGATATTCAGAAGCAGTCTGGATGCGGTCCTGGGCAACTGTCTCTGTGTGGCCATGACTGAGCAGAGGGGTTGGACCAGACAACCTCCAGAGATCCCTTCCAACCTCAACCATCCTGTGATTTTGTTGAAGTAGGAGGTAGTGTGCAAAATCTGAACAGCAGCTGGTCGACAGAAGCAACCATACTTGCTTGCAGCTGGGCAAGAAAAAAGAGGTGAGTCCAGAATAAGAGTAGTTTTAAATGTTTGAAAGTATTATCCGTAACTGATCTGGTCCTAAACCTATGAGAAAAGGGAGAAAAAACAGGGATTGAACTCTTCATCTGCAGTCAAGAAAGTTGGATGACCTGATATTTCTGAATAGAGTCCCAATAAAATAAACCTCAATTTAATTCATGGTTGTAAAGCAATTACAGTTGATTGTTAGTAGACCAGTGGCATTTCTAGCTCATTGTTCTCTTTTCTAATTACAAAGATAATACCTTTTGTTCAAGTCAGCCAGGAAAATTAACAAATCAGTCTTCTACTGACAGACATTGCTAAAGACAGAGTTTGTTTTCACCAGGAGTGAAATTATGGAGTTTGCTGGGGTTGTTTTGAAAAATATTTTGCTGGCAAGAAATGCTGTGATTTTCTCTAAGTGAAATATTTTATAGAAACACAGAAATTATGACAAAACATTGTTCTGAACAACAAAAGAGTGTAATAATACTGAAGTGGGTACTTAACTTCTGTAGAATGTAACGCTTTGCTTTCACATTTCAAGACAGCATTTCATTTCAAATTGTATATTTCAATTTGTCTGACCAAAGGATTTTTGCAGACCAACACTATTTCTATGAAATGGAAAACTTTGTTCCTCCCTAGCTACAAAGCTTTTTGTTGGAAAGTCTGTTTTTTGATATGATAATAAATAAAACTTTGCCCATAATTCTTTAAAGTGAATTGGGTTGTAATGGTTAGATCTAAGGCTCAGCTGAGCTGGGATCCGTTGTTAGGCTGGGCTTGTTTCAGTGTGTAAAATTTGTTTAGTGCTTTAAATTACATAATCCACCAAAACAAACATGTTAACCTTGCTCAGAGTAATATTTGACTCCTTTTTATAAGGTTCCAATTACTTCAGAAACTTGAAAACTGCAACTTGGAAGATAGAAACGTAGAATATCCTGAGTTGGAAGGGGCCTCATGCTTTTGTCAGTGTGTTCAGGATACACACAATTATTCTGCAGTCCCCTTGTATGGGACTAGCCTTATGAGCTAAGTAATAAATAAACTTTCTTCAGATTTCCCTGAGAGCACACTGATATGTGCAGTGTTTTATTCTGCTCGTTTTGGTCTGTAGTGTCCAAAATCTTCACTCTTCTGCCTTCACCACCCGCCACCCTCTGCTCCACACCTGTTGATGACATGACATCTCTCCTTTATAGTCTCACTGGGTACCATATCAAAAATGAAGCTGAAGTGCTAGTTACTGATGTATTTCTTTTACTGGTATATGCTGGGCTACAATGTGACCTATGATATGCTAATTCTGTAAAGGCACTGGAAGTCCAAAGGTTTCAGTGCACATGCAATCTTCAGAACACTGGCTCCTGTTAGCAAGCAAACCCCACAGACTTGTACCGCTATGCAAATATCTAGACAGGGATCACGTTTTCTGACCTCAAGCTCAATGTACAATGCCTTCAGCTGTTCAACAGAATAAACTACTGCAGATGACTGCTACTAATGTTCTAAGTGTTGTATGTGCTGTACAGGATTGGAGCAAGTATTTCACAGTGCCTCATCTCCAAGGTCTATGAGTAGTACTGGTCTTGAAGGTCTTAGTTCTACCTGTTGTTTTTTTGTTTGATTGTTTTGTTTTGTTTTGTTTTGTTTTGTTTTGTTTTGTTTTTCTTTAGGTCATACCTGAACTTGCCTAGCACATTTAATCAGGGAGGTGGGGAGGCTGTAAGCCCTCTGTCCATTGGGCTGTAAGCCCAATGAGGAATGCATACCCTTTTTTGAGTGGGAGACAGGTGGTTGTATGGATGTGGATCACATAAGGGCTGTGGCTAAATGTTGATTCTGCCATTGACGTAAGACTGATACCGAGCCATGTGGTTTGCAGACTACGTCAGATCTGTGCATCTTTTGTGGATTCTAAAAGGACTGCTGTGATAGCAAGAGCCTTATTGTGATTGATGAGGGAGAGCAAAAACACTGAGTGTCAGTTGTGCTGCCCGCACTGTCCCAGTGTTGTGTTTAGTCCTTACAAATGTCTCATATTGAATCTTTAGAGCTAAGAGGAATGCATTGGGTGCATGCCACAGCAGACTTGCAATCTCAGTATCCTGGGAGAGCAAGGGCTCTATTTACCCTATACTGAGTGGCACAGTGACTCAGACAAAATACAGAAATAGGAAAGAGTTGGAGGAGAGTGCTGTTACTGAAGGATGGGATTAAAGCGAGAAACTCAAAAGGGTCTCTGTAACATGCTAGTCCTGCTGACAGTGGGGGCTATTCCCTTGAAAAGGCAACGCTCTGGAAGTGAGCTGCAGTTGCATGTGTGTGAAAGAGGTGGGTGTGTAGTTTAAATTTGTGTTTTATTTTTAATCTTTCTCTCTGAAATTTCTTTCTGGTTAATTTTTGTTTGATAGAATCTGGTTTTCCTTAAGTTTTCTTGTTGGTAAATTCATTTTTTTCCTGACAAATCTGGAGTTACTCAGGTTTCATGAAAATAAATAATCTAAAGAAAGACAGACGTGAAACCAGAGGAAGGTACTTAAATCTCTGGATATACAACTTGATTCCGAGCTTGGGGTCTGGTATTGTTGTTTGTCAAGAGAGCCCTTTCTGTAAATGTTACATGACATCCCTTTGAAGAGGAATTCCAAAGTTCTTGATTGTTCTGCAAAGGTTCAGTCATGCTTTACTGCCTCTTCTCAACTATTCCAAGATACCAGATTTTCAAATATTTATTTTTAATGTAAGAAATATTCTGCAGGACCTTTTTGTTTGGAAGTGGCCCCAGATTTAGAGGATTCATGGGACACTCCCAGCTGGTTTACAGATACTTGTTTTATTTTCTCAAAAGTCACTTGGCCAATTGTCAAGCAGATAGAAAACACTGTTATTTTGAGAATGCCTGAATGAATGTGCATGAAATTGTGGGCTTGAACCAATTTAGTATATTTCAGATGTAGATAGGTACTGGACTTCTTCAGCTGTGCAAAAAAAACTTGGTCGAGTTTCTTGCATTTCTACTGGTTATGTTTAGCTGACTGAGGGGAGAGTTGCTCATTCTGTTGAGCTTGCACTGCTGAAAGTTAGGGGAAAAAAAAAATACAAACAACCACATCTTTAAATAATTAAGCTGTGTACATTTGATAGGGGATAGCTGGTTAAAACATGGAACACTGCTGTAATATATTGACAGAAAATACACATTTTTACTCCAAGTTCTGTATTAAACTACTTTGTTTATTCATTAGTGAACGAGATCAGACTCTTATATACATGCTTTTCTTGTGTGTTTTTTTTTTTTTTTTGTATTGTTTTGTGTTGCTTAGAATAAAAATCTGTAGCATCAAGGGATGGCAAATATGTATTCAGCTTATTAGTA